CCGAGCTACAGCATGAAAAATAGTGAACTACTCTTAACATAGCTGACAACCTCATAGAACTGTAGGGCTGGAAGGGACCTTGAGGTCATTTAGTCCAGCCCCCCACTGAGGCAGGACTAAGTGAAAATGGTAAGTTTAATTGACAAAGAAGAGAGAGGACTTAATATTGTTATAAAATAAAGCTTAGTAATCTAGGGGGTCCAGGTTTTTTCTTGGACTGGAATTAATCCAATGTCTCAATTGCCTAAAGGTGTCTTGCTTTATACAAGGCCTGAACACGTTCCCATTACAGTAACAAGCTTTGCTGCTGATTTCAGTGGGAGCAAAGCATAACCGCAGTGAAACCTGGCTCAAGTGGGCACAGCAGACCCTGATGGCTCTTTGCTTAGTGGAAAGGGACTTGGAACAGCTACTGGAGTGACCTGTACCCTGTCAGCCCTTAAGCCAAGACCTGGTTGAAGAAAGCTGGCCTCATGGACTGCTGTGTAGTGGGTCAGCTTAGCCTGACTGTTCTAAATGTCAATCTCCCTCTTCCCCATGAATGAATATTTGCTGAAAATCCTACAATAGGCCTAAAATTAGATCAGGGCCAGTTCACACTTTTCCCTCTAGTGCATACCCACGCACGATGACCTGCAACTACTGCTAGAACATAACTTACTGAACGGTGAATTGCCCTGAATGGTAGTACACAGCTTCAGCAAGCAGTTCTCCCACCACTCAGTGTGCGTGGAGCTGTGTGAAGATGGTCCTGGCATGACTGGCTGGAAGGGCTGGCTACTGGAGCTGTACTGCATTGCCCTGGACACAGTGGATTGGTATCAAAGCTAAGGGAGTACTTAACTATTTCCTATACTGCTGTGTGTAATGCAGGGGACAACTGGCAAAGGCAGGTATGAATTTGTAGACTGGAAAAACCTCAACAACAAGAGGGGTGAGAATATCCAGTCTTCACTAAGTGTGTACCACTGCTCTTTCATTTTTGTTACTCTAGTGTTGCCTAGAGCACCTCTATGGCCCCCTTGATGCAAATATTTCCTATGCAGTGCCGGTGCCTGTCCAAACCCTTGTAAGTGAGGGGAAATGACCCCACAACAAACCTATCTTAAGTGGAATTTGCAACTAAAAGATACTTACCCTCTTAGTGTGTCTGCTTCATAAGCTTAAATTTCACACCTTTACAAATTGTGCTGGACCCTAATCTTATGGTGACAGGATAATTTGGTTTGATGTACTGGAAGATAAGGCCTCTCCTATAGCCTGCATCCCTTGGCCTACCTGGAAATGTTAATCCTAAATGCACTCAAGTTTCTGAATAGCTCTTACCTTGTCAGTAAAGTGCTAGAATGGGGGTAAATAAGCTCATTGTATTTAGTGCTTGTCGTCTCACCTGGCTGAAGGCCCCTGAATAACCACTACTGAAATTCACTTCCTGCCACCAGTACCTGTGGCACTACTCAGGGGTGAAGCATCAACTAGCCTGCTGCATGGTGGTGGTGGGGGAAGCTGGCTGCCTGTGGACAGAGGGGGACAAGTCACTGCAAAGCACCTGGCCAGTCCCCCATCTGGGGGGTAGCACTACAGCTCTTAGGGGGGATATTAGACAATAGAGAAATCACTGTGTAGGCAGCCAGGGTGGTGCACAACAGCATTGATCCTGCCCCTCCACTGCACTGGTTCAAGCTGCCACAGGGCCTATTACTCCTCGAGCTGGAGCAGACAAGAGTATCACAGGGAGACCAGGGCTGCAGCTGTGAAGAAGGTGCAGCTCTCCAGCTCACAACAAACCGAGACAGAGGAAGCCGTGCAAGATGTCAATGCAGAACCGGTAAAGGATTGCAGCGGAGTGCTACTTCTAGGAAAGGAGTGCCGGGCCAAACCCCCCCTTCTCACTTCCATATTCTCCAGAGCTCAGGGGACTAGCCCATTTAGGCCTCACTCTGTCCAAAGCCCAGCCACAATGAAGCCTGTGCTGCAAAGAGATGGAGAAGGGACAATAACAAGGCCGCTCAGTGGCACAGGGGCTGCTAGTGCTTTTCAGCGTTAATGTAGAGGCAGAAGGTTCAAGTTCAGCTTGGAAGGTATGTCTACACTGCAATTAAACAGCCCTGTGAACCTGAGCTGGGCACCATAGGCCAGCTGTGGGTTTTTACTTCCAGTGTAGACAGCCCAGCTCTAGGACCCAGCAACCGTCTACACTGCAATTAAATAACCCCTTAGTGTCTCATGGTATGTCTACACTGCAACTGGACACTATCTGTAGCAATGAGTAGCGGAGGGTTATACACTGTGTGATGACTATCCACACTGCTGGTCTCTGCAGCCCCCGAGCCAGTCTTAATGCCAGCTAGCTCTAAAATCTGAGCTGGAATCACCAAGGAAGTAGATTAAAAGCACCTCCTGCTTCTGAAAAGGGAAGGCTGGACCCTTCATGGTAGAAGCTGGTCAGTACATAGCCCCACTTCAGACATCTATTAAACCATATTGAGTCACCTGCCTACAGTTAGGTCAGCAAACAAATACCATCAGAGACACCTCTCCTCACTCATTGTGCCTAGGTTCCCTACTCTCAAATGAGTCTGTGGTTGTACCAGTAATAGACCAGGTCTGCTCTCCCAGGGCTATCTCTGAGTAAGCTTACTGAAGCCCTGCTTAGTAATGGGTGAAACTTACCCCCATCCAGAGGGCCTAGAGCTCACAAACCACCCAGTACATTGTACATGGTGCTTAGAGCACAGGCTGGCCGGCTGGTGTGTGAATTTCCAACTGGGAGCAGAGTTGTTGTGCACCTCCCACAGAGGCCTAAGAACCCCACTTAACTTTGGTCACATCATGAGAAAAAAAAAAAATACTTCAAAATCTTGTCCAAAGTTCGAAGAGAATATTGCATCTCTTGCTGTAACTCTCCTTCCCTCCTCCTCCAGAAAAAAAATAAATAAATGGGATGTTCCTAGTGTTTTCCCTTCTCTGGGTACTCTCTTAAAAGTCCAGAAAGCCTCTCCTACCCCCAAGACCTATTTCTGCTTCAGACTGGAAACAGATGCAGAAAAGCCTAAGTAAATAGGCAGCCTGAAGGAAAAGCGGTGTTCAGGCTTGAGTAGCCTTTGAAAAGTTTAAAATATTCCCATTTTCCCTAAAGGTGGCTTTTAGCACACAGGCAAAGAAGGACCACTTTGGACCACCTTTGGGGATTTGCAGCTCAACCTTGACAGGACATTTGTGCTCACGAATGACACATTTGGGCTGACAGCCATTTTCTAAGATACCTACTGAAAATGCCAGCAGGTTAAGTCTTCTGTATTCATTGCTTACTCTGGCCCTATTCAGTTTATGGCTAGCTTCCGTTTTAGTGGTCAGGCAAGTCTCTACTCTGCTGGCTGTAGTTCTGAGCTGAAGGCAACATTAAGATGTGCATTAGACTCCCACCCTAGGATGGGAGAAAGAGGTCAGTACTGATCCCCACTGTGAAAGGAGCCACTCACATTTCTGGTGACTTCACCTCTCCCTTCATTTCCCTGGAACTTCAGCCACAACATCCTTTTTTCTTTCTTTACAAGAGCATTGGAAGGTAGCTCCTCTCTACCCTTCCTTACCAATGTTGCTGGTGCATTCAAATTGGCTAGAGGTGCCAGAGTATCACTGCACATGCTGGCGCCTGGGGCCACTTTCGCATTTGTCCCTCTGATTAAAGGAAGATTTATCCCTGGACACTGGCAGCTTTTTTTTTTTCTAAAAGCCCAACAGCTGTATCAACGAAGCTACGTTTCTAGGGGAGTAGAATGCGGAGGAGAGGACCAGCCTGAAGGCCATCTACCGAAAAAGCAGGGAGGTAATATGATGAAGAAAGGAGATGCTATTTCCAGTGCATGGGGCTGTGGAGTAACAGGCTCCAGGATGAGGTGCACAGACCTCACCATGCACCCCTCTGAACTCCCTTTACATCCACTAAGCTTAACTAGCAGGGATCCAGCTACTCAATTCTAAACAGCCACCAGTCCCTTTGAAGGCACGGACACCCCTTTTCCCCAAAACTCCTCACCCACGCTGATGGTCTCATCCCACTGTCTGCAGGACAGGGAATGGGAAGGGGTTTAGAAAGCAACTGCTCCTTGAGTCTTTGTGAATGGAGACAGCAAACACCAGTTATACGCTCAGATCTTTATTAGGTGGAGTAAGGGCTAAAAAGAAATGAAACTTCTAAAACATTCACCGTACTGGTGCAGGACAGGAAGGACTAATAGCTTTCTCCATCAGTCTTTTTAAAAAAAAAGTGGGGAGGGGTAATGAAGTTTCCATCCATTAGCTCTGGGTATCCTGGGCGGGGGCGGCTTGGGGCAAGAAGAGGTACAAGAGACAGCTTATACTTTTATTTAAGAAACCGCTACATAGTTTTGCCTCTAATGATGCAAAGGAGGTTCCAGGACACACTGACTGAGCCATCCAAAGTCTCTTGCTAGAGAAACAAAAAACCCTGTCAAATTTTTTTTATTTATTTAAAAATTGTGAAATAAAAAGATGATGCTGCAGCTCGTGGCCACGGTAACAAAACTGTCCACGAGAGTTAGTCTTCCACACCAGAGGCGGTGGGGGGAGGTAGGGGACAAAAGAAGGGAGAGGGCCCACAAAAAACAGTTTAAAAAAGTAACGGCTACATCTGAAAGGAAAAATCAAACCAACAGGAGACAGAACCCTTGATTTGTCTTTCGGGCCAGGCCTTCCCATCTGCCTGAACTAGGAACTGCGTTAAATAAATGGGCTCCTTCAACAAAAATGGCACAGTTTGTCTTTTGACAGATTATAAAGCCCTTCGAGCTTAAAAAAAACAAAAACCAAGGAAGATGCCCTGGTGCAGAATGGAAGTGAATAATTAATTCTTCCTACAAAGAAAATAAAACAGGCTGCAAAGATGCAGAAACCACATTTAGGCTCTATTACATTTACAAATACATACATAAATATATTACATACAACAGCAACTCAAAGAGGGAGCGGGCGAGCGCCACAGAAGGATGGCTGGCTGCAGTTCTCCCCGCACAGACGTTTGGCTGAGCAGTTACTTTTTCTCCTAATAGTTCCAGGAATGGGCATCGGCTTTTTCTTCTTTCAGTCTCCCCCTGCCTCCCCCCCTTCCTTGTTTCGTTTTTAGTTTGTCCAGTATGGAGAAGTGCCATAGGCGGTTTTGGTAGCCTGAGACTTTTGCTGCATGGTGCTTGGCTGATTGCGCTGGCCAGATCCACCCTGGAAAGAAATGAAAAGGGAGCACATGTTCAGATCAGAAGCCACCGCGGCTGGATCCCTAATCCTGAAGCCTCAGGGAGCACACTGCATTTATTACCTTGCTGCAGTAAAAGACCTGCCTGCTCCATCCATCCTCTCAGCAGCCCTGGGACTGCCTTTGAAAGTAGCAAGGTCTGTGATAAAGCAGGGAAATGGTGTCCCTTGGCCCCACTCTGGAACCTCAACAAAATCCACAAACAGCCAAAGCGAATCCCACTGGGAACACATGGCAGAAGTGCTGAGTAAGCTCACTTCCACAAGGCTTGCCCCATCTGGAGCAAGTCAGCCAGCCACCTCGCTGCCTCTTTTCAGCCAGAAAACATTCTTGCCTGCTGCAGCTGCAGCAAGGAGATGGCTGGGAGCGATCATCTGTTGCATGGAAGAGATTCCTTGAAACTGCACACTGAGGGCACGGCCAATACCCAACTTTCTACAGGTCAAGAGAATCAAAGCATCTGGATGCTCTGAGAATCATTTTGCCACAACCTTTACAACCACCTGAACCCCAAAGGGAAGAGTCAACTCTGGATGACCGTCATTCTGGCTGTGTCACATGATGTAACTGGCCTTGAGGCCATCCCATATCTGCTTGGAAAACACCAATCTCCACTAGCACTGGTCTTTAGCAGTCAGGAAGGACATGGGCCCAGAGCACAGGTTGTGGTGTCAAGTTCTCTTAGCACCTCAACATGCATTACGGGCAGACACTCAAGCCAAGATGCTGCAGCGTTTGTCCCCTGCTGCCAAGATACTGTCCTGCCTCCCCGAATGCAGACAACCCAACCCGAATCTAGGTGACTTTCACCGCAGAGCAACTAGCCGTTTCCTCAGAAGAGGAGGAACTTGACTCAGCCGAGCAGAACTAGGAGTAACCAAGCTGTCCAAGACCTGAAACAAGTGAGCTGACTGAGTGTGGGTGGAGCAGAGACCCCTCTCCCTCTGCCTCCTGACCACTCACAATAAAAGTTCTTTTTAAAAATCTTTGATGCAGTCAGCTTGAGACTTCCCCACCCAGCACCCGAGCGACCTCCTCTCTTGCTGATCATCTGTTAACCAAGATAACCTAGGAGGACAAATCTGAGGCCTAGGACACTTGGGATCACTGTGGTGATGGTGAAAGACTTATTAAAGCCTACCTAATCATTGACAGAGTAGTCTGTCAGAGGAACAGGGCTGCCTTCCCTCAGTGCCCTCTAGGGACACTCCAGTTCCGTGAGTCTCTTAGGGCACAGGAACAAAACACATTCCCCACCCTAAAAAGAAAGGTGTACCCCAAACTCAAACAGCAGGAGGCAATGATTGGCCCATGATCCAGGAAAATCATCCAAGTGGCTGACCCCAATGCCAGCCAACTCTAGATCAAGAATGTGACCAGCTGCATGACCTGAACTAAGTCCATGATTTCTCTGGCTAATAAGCCACACTGCAGAAAACTAATTGGAAGAGGCATGTAAAAACAAGGAGAGTGAAGGAAAATGGTCAGAAGTTGGATGGGCAAAGGAGATCCCTCCAGGGACACCAGGGTGCACAGGCGTAAGACATCAGACACACCCAGGGACAGGGAAACAATTTGTTATGTTCCGACTCAAAGCAGAACTTCGCATATTTTTCAAGAGACATTAACAGAGATGAAGGGAAATGAACTGGCCAGAGAAACTGAATGCAAAACCCCAGAGATACGAGGGAAGCTGGCGAGGGGGCTTACTTTGCTGCTAGCTGTATTTCTTTTATTGTCAGAACAATTATGATGGTTGTAAACATCTCCGTGACCTGCCCAGGAAAGGAAAGTGGCAGTCTCTGCTGGCTGCTAGAGCTGTCTGCCTCTGCACTGAGATTGTGTGCACCAAGGGGAAACTGCCACAAAGCCATTTTAGCCTCTTGGGAACAGCATCTCCCCCACCCTACCCAAGGCTTCATGGCAGTTTAGGCTGTATTACCTAGGGAGGTACTTTGCCAATGGGCAGAGCCAAAAGGAACAGGACAGAGTGCCTGTGATGGGTGGGATCAGTTTGGACACACTCTCTGGCTGATGGTCATCTAGTTACTTTGAGCAGCAGCCTCAGAAAGGCACCAGGGATTGATAGACTCACCTGCCCATCTTGCTGAAGGTGGTGATGCAGCATCTGGGAATGAGGCTGCTGATGTGCAGGCAGGATATGCAGGAACGGGGCTGGAGCATAACCTGGGGCAGCACCAGGGTTCAGTGGCCCAGTGGATCCAAGAGCAGATGGCAGGCTGAAAGGAGGCGGTGTGCCGGCATGGAATCCCTGCTTGTCAAACGTCTGCATGGAGGCAACAGGGAAGCAGTTAGACACTTTCCTCAGCGCCCTTTGGGTGACCAAACTAGGGCAAGAGTTGCCTGAACAAAGAGAACTTTAACTCTTTACCAACCCAGATCCACCTTAGCTAGATATTTACAATCAGGTGTTCCCTTTCCTCTTAAAGGCACACTGCTGTGCTGTCTGGAGTGAATCGGCTGACTTGGCTATCAGTTGCCCATTGTGATTTCACTTTCTCTGACCTATCTACTTGTTTGTCCTAAGATTGCAAGCTCCTCAGAGCAGAAGCCATTCTTAAGTGTTTAGAAAGTCCCTAGTACATTGTGGGTACGACCACAACCAAGTAGTAATTGCCAATGACCCAAGATTAAATGATCCATTGACAGACACTAAATGGTGCCTGTTGTTAACAGTAGAAGATGGCCTCTTGGCTTCCCCATAGGCAGGAAATTCATGCACATTCAATACAATGCAGCAGACCAGCAAAAAAAAAATCAACTAGTTCTTAGCAATCAATTTGCTCATCACAAAGTCAGGAAATATTCAAGCCAGTCAGGGCTGCTCAGTAAAAATGGCACAAGAGGTCACAGCAGGAGTTTTGCTTCAAGTCCCCAACCCCTCATGTCTGGTGCCGAGCAGCAGACTTGAGGCCCGGGTGCCTTTGTTCAGAGTGTACAGCCCCGCTCATCAGAAATGCAGGAGCAGATCCCGGGGACACAGAAATACCTATATGGATCCCCACCCCAATGCCCTTACAAACGGGCGCAGGGATTCCACGCTCCAGAGCGTGGAATAGGGAACTAATATTTAACCCCATTCATTCCACAGCTTCTCAAAGGGAGACTAGCTGCACCACAAACAGCCAGAAGACAACAGCACTGGGTGGAAGACGCAGTGATCTGGTATCAATACGCACACAGTCCAGAAGGAACACAGGAAGTCAATGGCCATAATTATAGATCTGTGTTTGTCCACACAGTCCAGCCTCTCTCGAGATGATGCTATGGCCTTGCGTTTAGGACAATGCAGCCCTAAAACATTTGTGATATTGCATTTTAAAAGCATCTCAGGACTCAACGGAAGTTAGGCAATAATGGGGGAATCTTTGCTTCCACATTAACAGCCTTTGTCAGCCTGGCAAGAGCAGGCTAAGGATGGAAAAGAGCAGTGGTGTCAAATGAGACACTTGGAAGTCCTCTTTAAAATCAAGTGGAGTGAGTGCTGGAGACAGGCCAGAATCTGGGATTACCCCGTGGAATGGGGCTGAGAAATCACCAGCGGCCAAGAGGCTCCCTGAGAGGACGAGTCCTGCTGAAATGACACTGGCCAGTGACCCTTGGGCACAGGAGGGAGGAGGACATGTTCATGCTTCTCAGAAAGAATGGGCCATAGCTCCTCACCTGAGTCTTGTTATAGACTGAGCCACTGATATCAGGCACACCTGTGTTACTTGAGGTCACAGAAACACCTGGAAAACAAAAAGCCGCTGACAATGAAAGAGCCGAAGGCAACCCAACCTGAACCTTCCTTTTCCTTGCTCCTGGGATCCCCATCATGTTCACTGGCTGTTGCCTGCATCCTCTGTGTCACCCCCCCCCCCCCCCACACACACACACTATATCAAATGAAGCTACTCCTGGCTGGGGTGTGCCGTTCCCTCCCATGCCATCCCAGCCCCTCTACAATTCCCCACATTAAGAGTCAAAAGAAAGTGCAAAGGCCTATTTCCTGAGCTCCCTTTATAAACCAGGCGCGAGACCACTGGTGTATGCTGCCTGTGTCCACTATCCACAAGCTTTATCCCCATTCCTAAGGCACCAAGCTGGGTAGTACCTAGGACACTGACCGTTCATTTAGATCAAGAGAAGTCAATGTTCCCCTCAAATTCGGGAGCACGTTAAAAGACACTGCATGGTTCCCTGGTCCACAGCGGCTGAAGCAGCTAGCGTGGCAGGATCAGAACCAAGCAGGGGATTGATCACCAGCTGGGAGGTGGCCGTTCATTCCCAGTCTGAACTAGAATCGTGGCTCCCAACTTGAGCCGTTTCACTTACGCAAGAAACAAAGATCAAAGTCTCTAGCCGATGAATGAAAGGATTGGGCTGGCTGGGTTCCCACTGCTCTCAGACACGTGAACAACAAGGCTGAGGATATAGGTACTGAGCTGCTGGTCTGAGGAAGATTTTTCTGGCCAGTATTTACTTAAGTCAGGGTTGGATTAGTTGGTGCCAGGGGGTCACTGTACATTTCTCACATGGTCCCACTAGCATCTGCAGAATTTAAGCTTTCATATAAAACAAATCAATGTTCTAGCCCTTATGCTATGCAAAGAAAGCATTCCAGGTATGAATGGATGCTATCAGTGATGGAGTCTCCGGAGAGCCTGAAACACTAACTCAGAGAGCTGTGACTTGCCCCCTTCACCTCAAAGGGTGTTGATTCTGGAGCCTAATCATGAATGTAAATAACATTCATGATCTAACTGGTGACCATTTCAGCAAAGAGACAGCTGCTCTGGGATCAGGGACCTAGCGTCAGCGGAGTGCCACTATCCCTCCACCACATCTGAACATTAGCTTCCAGCTGGCTGAGGTAACGGTTTGCTGTTTCTCCTCTGTGTAACTGAACAAAGCTGGACTTCAGCCACTCACCTCCTTACACAAATTCAGCCTTTGGCTTAGAAGGAACGTTTGGAACATTAAAAGCATTTTGAACATGAGAGATGGAGAAACAGCTTGGGACTCACCCTATTTGAGAGCTGGTCGTCATGCTGACCTGACACTGGGAATACTGGGAGTTTGCCCTGCAAGATCCCTGATCGGAAGTGCTTATGTGCACCTCAGATCCCTTTATTTGTTACCTTTCCCAGGTCCAGTGCCAGCAGATTTGTTTTGTGCTTGAGATGACCCACTGTAGCCTCCTTTGCTGTAGTCTCCAGCCGCCGTTCCCTGCGTTAAGTCGTCATAGCCTGCCAACGTGGACAAGACATGGTGCGACAGTGAGCAAGCAGCTCTGAGGACATTAAATGAAATGGCACAGATGCACTGTCCACTGGAGTAACCTTACCTGCTCCATAACCATGTTGTCCATAACCACTTGCCTGCTGAAACGGGGTGGAAGCGGTGTTCAAATTGACGCCATGCTGCTTGGCTGATGCTGGAGGTACCTGGAGGCAAAAGGCATTCTCAGTTAGAAAACAGCATAAAAGCCAGTTTCCACTGCCACCTAGTGGGGAAGCTCATCCCATGGCTCTGCTGGCCTCACTGCGCTGCATCTCCCAGCTGTGAAATAGAAGCCTTTAAAGTGCCAGGAAATCCTTGATTCCTTTCCCAGTACCTCAGAGCAGTGAGATCTAGCACTCTGAGCACGGGACTGGGAGCCAAGACCCATGAGTTCTATTCTAACTTCCAACCTTGACTGCTGTATAGCCTTGTGAGAGTGACAGCTTCTCTGCCTCAGTTTACCCCTCTTGTAAAATGAGGACAGTATCTTCCAAGCGTGGATACACAATAACTTTGCTCTGTAATTGCTAGGTAATCTCCACCCCAAGGAACGTGCATGTTTTATACATTTATAAAACCAACAGTGAACAATGAATTCACTCAAGCATCTGGAGATCACAAACCGGAGTCACCCAAACACACCGGTGGGATTACAGCCCCATAACTCAGGGAGCCTGGTATTTATTTTGTATAATAAAAATGTACAAAGCCTGGATCCAAGCCCTGTACAGACTCTGTCTGCACTTATCCCTCTACCTCCTCCTCCCCCCCCAGGGAACCCCTTGCCTCCCAGTCTCCCATTGGTGTCCCATAGCCTCTTCCCCCTAACTGATTTCTCCAGCCTCTCCCACGCTACTGACTCAGTTTCTGCCTCCCTCTCCAGCGGCCATCCTGGGCTGCTAGAATACAGTTGGGCTCAAATTTGTAATTCCTGGATGAACCATCACCTGCCCCCCCAACCCCAAACAGTTTTTGACACTGATCAACATTCTCTGCTGTAGCTCTATACCACTCACCGTTGCCTACATAAAGTTAGAATATTACAGTCCTGGCCTTTTAAAGTTCCTCCGGTCCTGCATGGACACTGTTGTTTTACACGGAAGCCACAGAGCGGATGACAAACTCGGAGGTCAAGCTTTAATGTTGCTTGCCAAGTTGCCATACAAAAGAAGTTCCACGCATAAGCTGATCCTTATTTCACCGGAAATGCCCTGCAGGACAGGGGGAGCTTTAAAGGGCCAGGACTGCACTAGGCAAAGCTAGAGAAGCACAAAGAGGGCAGCTAACAGTGTACGGTTTAGTTCCCATGACTTACAAACATGGTGGGCCCATACTGGAATGCACTGGGTACTCCTGGCACGCCGGCGTAATATGGTAATCCCGTGTAGCTGTATCCTGGGGGCAGCGTAGGGTTTAGGAAGGGCTGCTGAGTGGTATGGTGCGTCTGCGTCTGATTCTGCTGCGGCTGGGCCAGGGTGGTAGCGGGAGCAGGGGAGGCAGAATCCCCGCGGCCAAATTTTGTTACATCACCTGCAAGAAAAGCCATCAACTGTTTCAGGAGGGTTGTTTCCCATCCTTTGCTTTCTCAGCTCTCCGGCACTGGCAAAAACTGTCAAGGGATGGGCTTGTGCTACAGTCCAGAGGGTGAGAGAGTTTAGTGGTGAGAGCATGGACTGAGAGTCAGGACTCCTGGGTTCCACTCCAGCAACTCATTGCATGACCCTGGCCAAGAGAGAACTCTCTGTGCCTCAGTTATCCCACTGACAAAATGGAGATAACAATACTTACCTGTCGCACAAGGAGATTCAGTCACTGAGTGTTAGATCATTACATGAAATGTACTATAAAGCATAAGGTCTGAGTGGCCAAACAGCAAACAGTTCATTGGGTTAAAGTATCACTCTCCCAGAAGTTAACCTGGCTAGCAACATCTCCTGGGCTAAAGGAATGAGGGCCTTTGACAAAAACATGCAAGTCACTGCAAGGTCTCTATTTGCCAAGCATGACCAATTAGATCTCTGGTTCCTCACAGCACCAGAGCTCTGGAGACAGTAGATAAAGGCCAGGAAAGCCGGGCTTGCATCTGAGGCCAACTAATTAAAAATGTAAGAAGGGAAATTTGATTAGTAGCCCAGAAGAGGCCTTCTAGTAGCGCCGGGCAATCCGAACAAGAAACCTAACCACACTAGTGTCCTGGGGACAACCTCCAAGGTAGCGCGCTCATCAATTTCTGGGGGTGTGGAGGCAGAGATCCTGTAGGTGTCAGCACAATACAAACAGTAACAATGGAATGGAATACAGTTGGGCTCAAATTTGTAATTCCTGGATGAACCATCACCTGCCCCCTCAACCCCAAACAGTTTTTGACACTGATCAACATTCTCTGCTGTAGCTCTATACCACTCACCGTTGCCTACATAAAGTTAGAATATTACAGTCCTGGCCTTTTAAAGTTCCTCCGGTCAGAGAGGCAGTTAGAGAGGTCTGAAAGAGTCTAACCAAGAGTAACAGATGGACACTGAGCAAAGGAGGCTGAATACCAAGAAGAAGAGTTAGTAGGCTGCAGATAGAACTTTTGCTCCTGGGAAAGTATCAGTTGAGTCATCTAAACCCAGACACAGCACCAGAAGGAACAGCCTTGTATTGGCTTTGGAATGGACTACAATTCGGAAGTTAAATCCCTCTTTCGTATGATAGGACTTGTGTATGGAGTAGATATTGGCTGACTATTCCTGTTAACATCTTAAGGAAATCAGTTGTCAGAAGCTGAAATGTAGCCACTTACGATTCCTGCTCTTGTCTGACTAGTTTGGACTGGCCGGCTAAGCTGCCTGCAGAGAGAAAGCCAGGATTGCGCCTTTGGCCATAGCAGCATGCCCTATGTTCAGAAACCAATGCTTCTATTCAACCATCATCCTCATCTTCAATTAGTACTAACCTGAGTATGGGTTGTTAGCAAGGCTCCCATCTCTGCCTGTCAAGGTTGCAGGAGCAGGGAATGTAATTCCATAATAATCCTGAAAAAGACAATATTTATTAATACTCAAATGCATAACAGCGCCAGCCTGTTTTATGAATGCTGCCTTGTATGCATGCAAAGGTTCACGAAAGCAGAAGATTCCCAACAACACTGGCACAGAGTGAATGGGTTTATTTTTCCCTCCTGCCAAACGTGCAAAATCAGGGAAGCACGGACAGAAACTTATCCAGGCAGGCTGTGGCAGAGCTGAAGCTTTGGAGTGGCAGCCCTTGAATCCCCAGCTCTACATAATGCCTGTTTCTTAACACATTTAATGATTTCTCCTTAAAAAACATTCCTCAGCTGGTGACAAGTGTTCCAGCTCCGTAACACAAGCACTGCTGTAGAAAACCCCAGACACTAGCTAAGAAATGGTGCAAACATATATTAAAATGACCAGTGAGGGAGTTGCTAAAGGGGCACAATCAGAGTGTTACCATCCCAGATTGAGGATATAAGAACGCAAGAATGGCCCTACTTGGTCAGAACAAAGGTCCATCTAGCCCAGTATCATGTCTTCCAACAGTGGCCAATGCCAGGTGCCCCAGAGGGAATGAACAGAACAGAGAATCATCAAGTGATCCATCCCCTGTCGCTCATTCCCAGCTTCTGGCAAACAGAGGCTAGGGACACCATTCCTGCCCATCCTGGCTAATAGCCATTGATGGACCTATCTTCCATGAACTTATCTAGTTCTTTGTGAACTCTGTTATGGTCTTGGCCTTCACAACATCCTCTGGCAAGGAGTTCCACAGGATGACTGTGCGTTGTGTGAAGAAACACTTCCTTTTCTTTGTTTTAAACCTGCTGCCTATTAATTTCATTTGGTGACCCCTAGTTCTTGTGTTATGAGAAGTAGTAAACAACACTTCCTTATCTACTTTCTCTACACCAGTCATGATTTTATAGACCTCAATCATATCCCTCCTTAGCCGTCTCTTTTCCAAGCTGAAAAGTCCCAGTTTTATTAATCTCTCCTCATACGGATGCCGTTCCATACCCCTAATCATTTTTGTTGCCCTTTTCTGAACCTTTTCCAATTCCAATATATCTTTTTTGAGATGTTTAAATTATTCCTATTACAGTAGCACCTAAAGGGTCAGGACCCCGCTGCGCTAGGTGCTGCAGACTCAGAATAGAAGCTGATCCCTGTCCCAGACAGTTTATAATCTAAAGACAGGACCCACAAGCAGAAAGACACACAAGAAGCACTGTGTAAATTACAATTTTTACCAACTCTCTGCCCCTCCATAACAACCCCATCAGCAGCCGCAGTCCAGGTTTCTCGGCCAACCTGCACTCTCACCGTCCACCCAAAAAGCCCTCCACCCACCCCACTGTGCTGTGTTCCCGCAGAAAGAGATTAACTTTAGTCTGGGGAAAGGAAAAAGTTTGACAGCTGCTTCCAGATGCTCCTCCATCTCCCCCATTCTACCTACAAGATGCCTATGCATATGTAACTGAAAACTCCACTAGGCGGGGTTGCTCTCAGACTTCATGCCTCCTGGTCCTCCTCACCCCCAAGCCTGCCCTTCAGGATTACAGCTGGACAGGCCCCTTCTTGCCACTGAATAGATTTGTTTCAGATTATTCCCACACACACCCCGACACCCTCCCCAATATATTAGCTCGCACTTTTCCATGCTGGGAAAGGATTTTTCTCCACATTTCTGATCTCTATGTTCCTTCGTATCACACACACATCTATCCTCATTTGGGCTCCCAGCACCTCCTAATTTTGTATCATTTGTGACGGTCATGAACATGCTCTCCACACCCTCTTCTCCATCTCTGAGGAACTCTCAATAAGACAGAATTTAATAGACCCCTGCAGTACCAACGGGACACCTTCCTGCAATTGCTATTTATCATTATCCTTCGCTTACCAATCTTCCAGCCAGTTTGTAAGCACATGCGACTGTGTCATTTCCAAGCCAATATGAATTATCTTTAATGAGAGACCACCAAATCCTCTGCTAAAATCCCAACATATTATGTCAAATTAAAGTGATATTTACCCTGACCGTCGCTCTCCAAGAGAAACAACAGAAACAGTTTCAAGGGAAATCTGAAAGGTGCTAGGTCAGAACTTACATTCCATATATCCCTTGGGATCAGTCACCTTTCTAGGTGAGGTGGACAACAAATACACACTCACACCTGTATGAGGATAACTCTGTGGAATTAGGTTGGGAAGGATGTTACATCCCATTGTCTTTCACACCAATTAAAGGAAAATCCAGATTCTCCTCCCCCTCCCCTCCACTCCTGGTGACTAGCCCCATAAAAAAAGTCACAGGAGAAACAGCACTAATATCCCAGGAGGAAAGTGTGAGTTGTTTACAAAGCAAATCCACATTCACCCACATGTGAGTGTGAGGGGGGCACATGTGTTTTTGTTCTTAAAAACAGTTCAGGCATTATGTTCTTGGCCTCACAAAATGTGGGGTTTGATGTGCCATTGATGAGAGCCAAGTCCCCGCTATCACAAAGCAGACCCTACAGGTCTGATATCAAGGTTACATAAAGGGCTCAAAACACAGCTATGGAGCAGCAATGCTGTTACCCAAGAAGACAGCAATTTAGTAGGTAAATAATGGAGCAATGCTACCTAATCTGGGAAAGGCTAGCCTGATGCTACATCAGTGACTATTAAAGCAATCACGATAAACTTATTCCAATGGCATCTGACCCCACCAATCCCGCAAGATCTTATAGAGAAACCTTTGTATGCATACTGGAGATATGTAGGTGGGTGTGGAGAAGGGGCACGTTCAGAGCTGGTGGGAGCACCCCTATGTCTAGACTTAGTGCTCCAAAACCGCAGAAATGGTTAAGAAAGTCAGGGGCACGGAATTGTTTGCCTCCCCTCTGCTAGTCCTGCTGGCCCTAAAGTTTACCATCACGTCTATTATCCCAGGGAGTTGTACCAAGGTGGAACTCCAGAGAGGAACCGTCCTCCCCACCCCAGGCTTGGCAGGAGTTGTTATGCTAATGCTCACAGATGATGAAAGTTTACTCCTCTTTCTAATCTAGACATTTAACTGCATGACTCACACAAAAGCGAAACCTAAGCCACACTAAGCCATTTACTTCAATATAATGCATTGTAGTCTTTCTTCTTGGATTGCTATTACTGCAGGGATCTGTGATTTATCCACGATCTCTCTGTGTAACAACCATTTGACCGAGTGAGGGTTGGGGACTGTCTCCCCTCAGTTGCTCCCATTATGTCTAGTTTACAAATGTGCTCTTTAAAAGGACATTAAGTATAGTAGCTTAAACCCCATCCATTTTAATACAAATTCGTATTTGTTTCCGATATGCTTATTTAAGAAAAGAATTTTAAAAATCATTTACTTTTCATCATCTATGATGATCACTTTTCCCCTTCCCAAGTTTCTACAGTGAGCTCTCAATTTCACTTTTCTTTTAGCCAGTTTCACTTTCTAGATCTCATGAACTGTCACACTGCAGCAAAGCTTGGGCTGCAAATGCCACGGAGGGGAAATTTTAAATCCCCATGAAACAATTTGTTTGGAATTAGTTTTTACGAAGGTAAATGCAGCAGAACCCCGTTTATCAGATATCAAATCTTACTGGGACCGGAGCCAGATTGGATCATCAAAAATTCCAATAATCCAGAGAATGGGAAAGTGCTAGGCTGCAATGCCATCTCGTGGCCACAGGAGAGGTCTCCCGCTTCTGGACCTGCGTGTGCTGGTTGTTCGGTTAATACTGAGAGCCGGAATGAAGGGTCAGATACATGGGGTTCTACTGGATTCAATATATTTTATAAAGATAAGGAGGGGGAGATAATATCTTATTGGACCAACTTCTGTTGGTGAAAGAAAGAAGCTTTCACTGTGTAAGCTCAAAACCTCTCTCTCTCTCATCAAGAGAAGTTGGACCTGACCTACCTTCTCTCTCTACTATCCTGGGACCGATATAGCTACAGCAACACTACATACAACATATTTTATAAGACATTTAAAAAGAAAGCCTACAATTTAGAGCCTGAAACACCTGACAGTGGTCCTTTAGCTACAAAGAAAATCTCCCTGGACTATCTTGAATATTATATGTTCATACTGTGTTCCACCAGCCTACTATTAAACATATTTCAATTTAAAAGTAGGAATTCACAGAGGTCGAATGTAACAGCCTCATTCAGAATCTGGCCAAAAACCAAAAGGATATCACCTCAATCCTTTGCAGAGGTTACTTCAGGATTTGTAATGACCTCAAATGGTCAACACACTGGTTTTGCAGCTCATCTGAAAGGCAGCATTGCCAACAGTACAATGACCCTGAGACACTATATATACACACACTCAGACACTGGTGCAACAGAGACTCAAAGGGAAGCGCACCACAGTGTCCAGACCGGGCCCAGCAAGCACGGAGACAGGCCCCCACACTTTCCACAAGAGTAATAATTACATTCTTTCCACCAAGGGGCCTCCTCCAAGCAAGGTCCTCTAATACCTAGGGATGAACCTGACTCCTACTGAATCACCAACAGTGCTCCCTACAGAGTGCTCAGATCTCTTCAAAGATCTGGAATTCCAATATCAATACTATGTATCCCTGCTCAGCTTCAGAGTTTGACAGGTACGAAGGCTGCAATCATATGTCTATGTCACATGCCTGAAAGAATTCAGATTTCCTATTGAAAAAACAAAACTGAACGGAAAATTCTTGGGGTTCAGGAGTTCGAAATAATTGGGGTTCCACAGTCAAAGAGAACAGACTCATTCAGATCTGAAAGATTCAGCACCTTAGGCTATATTACAATGATTAAGAACCCTAGTGCCTGAGCTGTTTAAATATTTCAGAGCGTAGTTTAGCAGTACATGCTGCACAGAACACACAAAGGTCAGAGGTCAAACACCCAGGGCCTCTAATAATGCTGCACAGAGAGGAGATGTTTAACATCCCCTGGGGGAAACATGGACATTGGTATGGAAGTCTCAGAAGACACTTAAGTCGCCAGTT